ACGGGGTTTGACCCTGTTTGGCCTGAAATTGCTGTTTTGACCCCTGTTGTCGGGGAGAACCCAAATTAGCTTCATTTGGGGACTTGAGATAGATGGATTAGCATTGTTAATCTTTGTTTTGAGATTAAAAACCCTTGGAATGATAATGTGAAACATGAAAATGGATTAAGGCACACTAATAGGAAATCTTGGTTGGAAATTGAGATTTGGATTGCTTTAGGAATGAGAATTGATCCTAAAGTGTTGTCTTGCATCAGTGATTGCTGAGGATTCAGACTGAAGGGGCTTGAGGAAGCGAAAGTCGAAAAAAAAGGCAATGCTAGTCCCAGGTTTGATCGTGCGAGGTAGGATTTCTATCCCTTTTCCTTATGAGCCTGTTTTCAAAAAGGATTTTGGCCTTGAAAATGTTTTAAAGAAAGGGATTGATTTGTGAAAGAAAATGCTCTGAAAACCATGGCTTGTCTAGTCATGGAACCTCATGGCTTGTCCAGTCATGGGGCCCGCGGCTTGAGTAGTTCGTGGGGTCGTATTAACGATTTCAAAATGTTAATGAATGATTTCTTAAGCAAAGAGATCTTGTGAACTGGTAATAGAGTCTATTGCTGTAAGCCTAGATAGGATGCAGAGAGTGCATCCTCGGGGGCAGAACCCGAAACTCGGTCCGGGTAGGCGAGGCACTTGGTTAGGTAAGTAATTTGTACTAATTACTTGCTGAATCCTGTAACATGGTTATTTTCAGTTATATTTCCTTTGAGAAAAAGGATGTGAGGTTCCGGCTGTTCTGTCGGGACTGAATGTCTTATTTTATTTATGTATTCAATTATTTATTCATGCGCTCATTTATTTTAAATATTTCAAATTATATCTTACTGGGCCTTTCGCTCACATTTTATGTTTTAAATGTTAAACCCCTCCCAGGAGACTCGAGGAGCAGTGTAGGGTAGTTGGAGTTGCTACTGTTGGATCGAGTGAGGATTGAGTTTATCCTCTTGAACAAATGTAAGGAATTTGAGAAATTATGTAAACCTAGTTAATATTGGATTTACTAGACTGTGGTTGATGTCTGTTGTAATGATTATTTACATGAGCATGTATGTACGATATTGTATGTTCTATGGGGTGGAGCCATGTGTGTCAGAGGCTCTGGGATTCTATAGTAATGAAATTATATTTTAATGCAGTTAAGTGTGGGGCCCGGTTGGGAATCTGCTTTATTAATCCCTAATCGAGCTCCACGTCACCCACCCCGTTTGGGGGGCGTGACAAGATTGTTCGAGGTCATAGAACTCAAGTTATCTTCCTAATCGGCCACCAGGTATTATTCCTAATTGAGTTCTTAATAAATAAATTAATGTGATTAATTTATTCGTGCATAAATTAATATAATCTATAGAGTATCTCAAAGGTTTTATGAAAATTTTTGTTATACACGATCCGCCTCCCCCACGCTTCTGCATCCGAATTCGATTCGGAGACCAACAAAACTATCCTACGTGGGTCAGGCAAAGCATATGGTATGGTCTCTATCCCCTACATTTCACATATTAATATACCTATGGTTCAATAGGAAAGACAGTGAAAGTCTTTAAAATAAATACGAACGAGCAATCATTAAAGCTTACCTATAAGACAGAATCTGGACAAAGTCGGGTTCTAAGATAGCTTCACAAGGCACCGAGGAGAGCAAGGGATGCAAGTAGGAGTCTACGAGAAAGAACTCAGGTAGAGTAACGGCAGTTCAAGAAGTTTGGTAAAAAATGGCTTTGGTTCGAGGAATATTTAAAGGAAAACAAACCCTCTACCCCTGGTCATTAGATTAAGTTCGTAAAATCCAATGGCAGGGGCATCTTGCCCAGATCTGACGGCAACAAATGAAGGCGGGAAGGTGAGAGGGCACGATCAAAGGGCTCATATTCGCTTTTTCAAAAATAAAGCCTTACGTCAGCCTGGTGAACTGACCGACGCGACGGTTACGTTCCTCGAGGAAAGCTGAAGTGTTAAGACTATCATTACGAAAGAAGGCTCAGAATTAGGTTCCCTCACCCAAGGCACAGAAAGACACCCGAACCTAGCTCGAGGTTGTCTAAAGGAAACCCTCGACCTGGGGGGCAGCTGTTGTGTGGGAAAATGTGGGTGACATGTGAAACGGCGACAGCGTGACACGTGGCCCTACTTTCCCTAAAAAAGGTGATAGCCCTCGACGCTGCAAAGAAAAACCCAAATTATGGCGTCGACCAGTTGTGCCGTCGAACTTATGCAACACTTCCTCTGGAAAGGGTCGACTGTCAGAAAGGACATGAGGTCTACGCAGCACAGACGGCGAGGGGAATACTCTTCAGAAAGGAGCCTGACATCACAAGTTGCGTATAGGGGTGGGAGACGTCTGCAATACAGGCATTAATTGCAATCCCCTAAACCGCCCTACAGTGGGTAGTGAAGGATTACAGGAATCCACAGAGCCATAATAGAAGACCAATTGGCTGAGTGAATAGTCCAAAAGGTGATTAGTGGGCTACGGTCTGAGCCTAGAAAGGTAGGCCACTCGAGTACTTCTACCTACAAAGGAAAACCACCCACGAAGGAAGCTTGAGCTATAAAAAGGGCAAAGCCCCATACACGAAGGAGGATGGGCTTCTCGAGTATTGAATCATAGAGAGAATATACGCGCATGTAAATTGTAAAAGTCCAAAAGAAATATATCATACACAAGTGGATGTAGCTCTTCATTAACAGAGTGAACCACTATAAATCTCGTGTGTCCTCTCATTCAAAGCATTACACTCATGCTTACAAAACACAACAAATACTTTATAGCATAGTTTCAAATATACCGTTAATTTTCAACCGGTAACCCAACGGGATACCAGTGGGTAACCCGGCGTATTTCTGTTGACAGAATTCAGCCGTCAACAACCACCATGCCACAACTTCAACGTATATATTGTATCTAACAAAAAATAATGATAATAACAATTTGTTATTACTGTCTTTTTAAAAAATAAAAAAAGAAGAAAAGAGAAAAACAAAGCTTTTGAACCTTTTGCTCGCAAATTGCTACGCTTTTGAACCTTTCCTTAAAATATTGCTAACACTACCCCACATGTTGCTGTCATCATCGAACCCTACCGACACAACATATACAAAACATAACAGACAACACATGGTGATCCCTATAATCTTTTACAGTAATCGACAGATTGAAAAAGAATCCAACTTAACAAAATATTCTCATCATTCAGCCATTCAAACGTTTCAAGATGAAATTACCAAAAGCTATATACAAATTGCACAAAACAATAACAAAATTGTTACCAAATTCCATAGTTAGGGTTCACGAAATCTTACCATCAGCCATTGACAATTCCACTTATTTGGATCGACTCAAACCCTTCCTTCTTCGGTGATTTCTTAACTTATTAGTTTGAAGGAATTCAAGGCCTTCAATTCGAAAGGGAAGATCAAGAATGATGAGATGATTTTAGAAAATTTGGACTGGGTTCGAGAACAATGAGAAGTGTTGAAATAACTCTGGATTTTTTTTTGGCCCTAATTGACCTTATTTTGAACATTCCAGGATTGGCCCTAAATTACGTATTTGCCCTAACAGTGAGTGTCATGTGCCAGAAATGCGACACTTACCATTTAAAATTTAATAGAGGGAGCGAATAAGGGAGAAGCGTGATAACGGAGAACTTTTCAAGGAGAAAATTTGATATTTTTAAGTTTAGGTGGAATACTTGTAACACGCAAATAGTTTAGGAGGTACAAGTGTAATTTATCCTTTTTGTTTTCAGTCATCTAGTTTGTATAAAAAATCTTTTATTTTATGTATTTTTTTAATCTGATATGATTTTGACCGGACCTATCACTAAACTCACCTACCAGATAATGTTTTTATTATTATTTTTTTAATCTAGGACTAATCGACGGTTTAGACGTGTAGCGGTTGGTAAAAACAAAAACCCTACCCAAAAATTCTCCTATTTAAAGTAGCGGTAATAGAAGATTAACTAACCCCCATTTTCTTTTCTGCCCCATTTTCTTTTCTGCCAAACTGTACTTTTCAAACCGTCTCTCAAGTCAACAATGGCTGCCAGAGAGCCAGACCAGAAAGCTCGAACCTTCCATTTATATTTCCATAGCTTTTACTCGTTTTAGACGTTAACAGTTTCTTTCAAATTCATCCTTTTTCTTCCTTCCTTCCTTCCTTCAATTTCGGCACAATATATTCGGTTCCCAAATCCAAACAGGAATCGCGATCCTCCGAAAGCTTCATTTTTTTCAGTCCGGCGATGGAGGCGGCTCATGCCGGTGGCGGCGGAGGCGGTGGCGGTGGAAGCGGAGGTCCGGCGCCGTTTTTGTTGAAGACGTACGACATGGTGGACGACTCGGCGACGGACGAGATCGTGTCATGGAGCTCCAACAAGAACAGCTTCGTTGTCTGGAATCCGCCGGAGTTCAGCCGCCTCCTCCTCCCGACCTATTTCAAGCACAACAACTTCTCCAGCTTCATTCGTCAGCTCAATACCTACGTGAGATATTTTTTTTAATTCTCGTTTTGTTTGGATTAAATTCTATGTTGAATTTTCGATTTTGTTTAGATTTGGTTGCGTTTTTGTTGATGGTCCATTGAATTCGATTCAATATTTAAATTGTGGTTGATGTGTTTGGTTTCTGAATATTTGTAGTGATTTCTGTAGGGATTGTTAAATGATTATTTTGTTCGTTTGCGATTCTTGAAAATGAGTGCTGAAGAAACAGAGAAATAGTATTGAAATTGCTGTTTGATAAGTTCTGAAATCGATTCTTTTGATTAGGAGATCTTCTGAAAGAAAATTTAGGTGAGAAATGAGGTAGTGTATGTCTTCCTAATAGAGGTCAGGAGTTCGACCCCCGTGGTAAAAAATTGTAGAGCATTATTGTAGCATCTCCGTAAACAAAATTGCATATGTTGAAAGTATTTTTTAAAGAAAAAAAGTCGGGTTGGAAGAAATTATGTAAGAGGAGGGACCGTAGTTTCCGAATTTTTTGATGAACTTACATGCATAACAAGGGAAAGAAAAAGTGGCTTCCTTAATGAAGTTTGACATATGAAGGTGCATTTACCAATCTGTCATGAATTGTAAGCACAAAAAGGGCAAAACTTCGGAAAATAAAGGAAATTGAGCATTTGGTTCATTTGCTTACCTACTATTGGGAGTGGATTTGCAATCAAAGTTTTTTTTTTTTTTTTTTGGTCTTAAGAAAAGGCGGATTGGAAGGAAATACGTAAGAGGAGGGACCATATTGATACTTATTATTTAGGAGGATTTGGTAATTGAATGC